TTTTTTTTTTTTTCAGAGGGAATCTCACTTGAGTATAAGCCGAGGGGGTTTTTTTCAGCACAAAAAATGTGCTGAAAAACTCGGCTTATACTCGAGTCAATAAGTTTTCCCAGTTTTTTGAGGCAAAATTAGGTGCCTCGGCTTATATTCGGGTCGACTTATACTCGAGTATTTACGGTATACTTATTCCCATATATCAATATGTAGAATTTGTGTATTAGTATTTAAAATCGAACTCATTGTACCTTTGTCTGGACCATTCCAGGTCTTTGATCTCTCAAATGCTCCAGAGTAGCAGCAATATCAATTTCTTTAGCACCTGCAAAGTATGAAAAAAACCAGAAATATCAATTGGGATATATTTAAAGCAATGATCACACATGGTGCATCTGTCAATCTTCTACTGGATTCTCTTTGGGCTTATAGCCCAGTAAAATATCTCTTGGCAGTCTTGGCAGGCTCATCAATTGGCGTTCATAAAGTAAGGGAGAAAATCCAAGAGTAGCTTTTCTTAGTGTTAGCTATTTTTTTCACAATAATTATATCAAAAACTATTTCTTAAAGGAATATCTTTAATTATTGCTGTACATAAATGAATATGTATTTGTTAGTCTAAAAAACAGGGTTTAAAAATTACAAGATTTTTTGATTTTCATACTTGATACAGTAGCTGTGTGGTTAACTATAGGATTTTTCAAACCTATATTTGAAAAACAATTGTTCAGGACTGTGATGGGGAAAGTAAAAAGAGGGACAATAATCACATTCACAAACTCTATATAAAGTGTAACTACTAACTACTAAGTAACCTAGCTAGTTGCCTGGGGATGGGGCAGGGAGGAATCACGTGACTGTGGGGGTGGGTGCAGTGTGATGTTTTACGGGAACCGGAAGTGTTTTATGGGCTGTAAGTTGAAGACTTACTTTGAAATAATGTAATAACTAACATAGACACATGTTGAAACTGGGTCAATAAGAAATGGGTTAAGTCACCTGAACTCTATCATGATGTTCACCTTTATAGACAAAACAATTCAGTGGGAGGAAAAAGTCTGCAGCAGAGAACTGCTTCCAAAGCACCAGCCATTCAGGCCAGTCATGTTAAAACGACAATTAACTCCAAAGTAAATATGTAAGCTGGTTTGCAAAGCTGATATTTCCCCTCCCACATTATAGTTACTAGTGGAAATAATCTTTCATCTATACTAGCATGTAAAACAATGCTTCATACACAGAAATTCTTTTTCAGATAGAAAATGGCAGCACAACAATAGAGATGTTTAACATAAGCCTAAATCACCATTAAAATTGAGCATAACTGAAAATACAAACATGTATTTCAACCTCTTTGATTCCTGATAATTTGATAATACATCCATGTATTGGTGATGCCTTCTTTCAAGATGTTTTTGAACTTCCTAGTTTAGTCCAGAACCTAGTATTTCCTGAAGGTCTCCCAATCAATTACTAACCAGACCTGACTCTGCTTAGCTTCCAAGCCCAAAGATGTTATCAATTATAGTATTATCGTGAAGGTAAGTGTTATCGATTATCGGAGTTCATAAAATATTAAGGTTAACAATATTTTAAAAGTTTATAAATGCTACCACTCTTGCAGAGTCAAATAAAAACCTCAATGTATAATTTTATGGTCTAATTTTGAATGGCAAATAGAAGCATGGGAAAACACCTTTCAGAGAGAGGGGATTTCTGGGTAAGATAACATCTTTGTCTCCTAAGGAGGAAGAATATATTTAACTACCCATAACAGCAATCACAAAGGACAGGAATATACATGCCAAATGATTCAAAATTCTCAAGAACACACTAACATAAAGTTGAATAAGTCAACATCTTATCTAACAGCTTTGATTAGAATGTGAATAAAGACTTACGTGCCTATTTTACAAAAAGCCAAATGTAGAAAACTAACCTGATGATCTCAAAAGTTATTTTTCTCCAGAAATTGCTGGATAGGCCTCAACTACATTTTTTCAATCAACTTGCTCAGGATGGAGATTCAAGATTGACAGAAGGAAATATTTTTACTACACTGTATACCTAGTTAAAACTGTGGAATTTGCTACCAATAGCTGTGGTAATGACAGTCAATTTGGATGGTTTTAAGAGGATTGGAAAGATTTGATGGAAGAGTATACCAATGGCTCCTAATTTTCACTACTGTTTACTGCTGCTACAAATAGTGGTTACCGGGACATAAAAATGGCAAGCATCTCTTATCTAAATGTAGCATTAATTTATCCCAAATGCATTAAGTAGGTCACTGTATGAACCAAATACACTTCATTAGATGGGCCTATTATTGCCAGATCCAGCAGGACTCTATATTTATGAAGTTTCTGATGTCCTATTATCAAGAACATAAGCTAAAAGAGAACAATGAACATCAAGTGTCCTGATTCAGATATTCTGTTAGGTAGCATGACACAATCATCCACCTGTTCAGTTTATGGCTGCTTGGATCTTTGGAGTGAAAGCAGAATAAAGCTTTCTTAGAAACAATGGAAAACTATCAGAGAATCCTTACTCTTTATCTGGAAACAGAGAGTAGCAGATCAATTGAAAAGGCCTCAGTCTCTAACCCTTTAAGTAGTTGTTTTAATGGCAAGTAGCAAATCTGACTTGCTAAAAGAGTATTTTCCATAGTATGGATGCCCCATAAGAATAGAAAACAATGTAGGAGAGAAATATCATAGAAGAAAGACTGATGGGTTATTAGATCACCTTGATGCAATGTATGTTCCCCTAGAACAAATGTTAATGCATAACCCCATTAAACAATTTTGCATTTAGGAGGGCGGAGCTGGCGTCGTGACGATACGGCATGCGATCTTGGAGGTCTGAGATCGCTGCCGATATCTTTGCTCCTGTACGGTCCTATCGGATCTAAACCGTCCTGAAGAGACGATGAAAGTGAAGAGCGCATCCTGTCGATCCCAGGGATACCGCAAAGTCCCTGGTAGATCCAGGAGAAGCTCTTCTTGCCAGCGGCAAAGAGGCAGCCATTAAAGATGCTGAAGATGGGACAGCTCCGAAACGGAAGAGAACAGAAAGAGAGAGTGTGCCGGTTTGGTGAGAACTTTTTTTTTATTCTAAGATCTGAAAGGGCACCCTAAGGAAAAGTTTCTGGGTTTCTATCAACACCTGGAGTCTGGTGTTGAAACCTAGGGGAAAAAAAGGTGATAAGTTTTTGGAGAAGAGAGCTATAATAAGAGCCTTGGATAATTAAACAAAGTGCAGTGTGCTCTTTTTACTTTTTCTAGTTGTGCTATCCCTCCTCACCAGCTTTATTGTATTTTATTTTATCTTTTTTTTCTTGTAATAACTATTTGGGTTTTTGGCTTTGTTGGAGCTTGTCGTTGTTTTTCTTTTTTTCTTTGGAAGTCCATTCTCTACGTTTGCTTTTTATTTTAAAGGGAAAGCTTTAGTATTAATCTTTTGTTTTTTAAGGGAATAGCCCTTTTTTTCCCTTTCCTGGTATTTTTGTTTTTTCATCTACCTTCCTGGTTTATTCTTATGCACTCTTTTCTATTTGAGACCTTTCAATTGGATTAAAGTGTTGAAGAACCTGAAGAATTTTTCCTTTTCCTTTTCCTTTTTTTTTTCAAGCCTTTTTCTTCAATTAACTACTGATTGGATTAAGGTATACAAGAACCTGAAGAAATTTTGTCCTCCCTTTTTTCCCCTTTTTTATTATTATTATTGGGCTTCTTTTTTCTACTATTTTTATTTTGAACTATAATTGGTTACTTCACAATTGGATTAAGGTTTAGAAGAACCTGAAGATTTTGAATTGCTTAAAATGAGTAGGAAATTTACAGCTCCTGGTTCTTCAACTTCTACTTCTTCCTCTCCACCATCTGGAGGACAATGTTCAATACAGACAATGTTAAAGCAAGAAAAAGAACAAGAAAAAGTGACTCTGCAGACGATTATGCAAGGAATTCAAAATATTCAAGCAAGATCAGAGAATATTGAAAAGAGAATAGAGAACATTGAACAAAGAACATTGAACAAAGAACAAAGAACAGGGAAAACCGATGAAAAAGTGGAGAACATCCAACAAATGATGTTGAAGTATGATGAGAGATTCCAAAAAATTGAAGAAGAAGATACACAAAGAGACAAGAAGATTGGAGATATTGATAATAGATTAACGGTGGTTGAACAAGATAAAAGTGGTATGTTGAGATGGGAGATGGATAGATCAGAATTCTATCTTAGATTCCAAAACGTAGAGGAAGAAAAAGGACAAAACTTAGCTGAGATAATGATAGAAATACTGGCTGAAGCTTTGGAAATAACTCAAGAGAAGATGATGGATGGAACAGATGAGGTTTATTGAGTTTTCACAAGATATGTGATGAGAAATAGCTTACCAAGAGAAGTTCACATTAGATTTACAAAGAAAGCCATTAAAATGCAAATATTGCAAGTGGCAAAAGAGAAAACATTGAAATATAAAGACAAGGAGACTGTGGTCTTGAAACAAATACCCAGAAGAGTGAGAGATGAGAAGAGAATACCAATTCCTGACTAAAATGCTACTTAAAAAAGAGGTGAATTATAGATGGCTGATTCCAGAAGGTTTAATGTTCACATGGCAAGAACAGAGACATAGAATTGACTCAATTGAGAAAGCGGAATTATTTTATACAGAATTTTTGGGTGGGAAATTGGAAGAGGCAGAAAAAGAGATCTCACTAATTGAATTCCAAGAGGACTGCCAAATGGCGACTGAAAAAGAAGGTGCAGTAGGTGGAAATGTGGAAGCCAAAGAACAACGTGAACTAAGATCTATGAGAGCTGTTAAACTTAACTACAAAATATAACCATGGAAGAGAAAAAATTGATTACAATTAATATAAATGGACTTAATTCAGCTGTTAAAAGAAGGAAAACCTTTCATAAATTAGAGAAATTAAAATTTGATATAATTTATCTACAAGAAGTACATATTAAAAAACAATATGAACAATTGTTGATACAGCCAAAATTAGGAAAAATATTTACTTCCTTGACACAATGTAAGAAAAGAGGAGTGGTTTTATATATTAAAGAGACCACCCGAGCAAAATTGATTTATACCGATGATGATGGAAAAATACTAATGGTGGAAATAATGCACAATAATACGAAAACACTCCTGATTGCAATCTATGCTCCGAATGACAAACAAGAAGAATTCTACAAAAAATTACATATGAAAATAATTGAACTGGACTATGCTAATATAGTTATGATGGCAGATTTTAATGGAATTGTAGACAATATATTGGACTATACAGCACAGAAAAC